TGTGTCAGCGATGAGGAGTGTCCTCCCGTCCCTCCTGAAATTGAAGAATGGGTCAGCCCTAATCCCTGGCAAGACAAGAAGGGAGAGGTCGTCCTCCATTTTATCTCTGGTTCTTAAAACGGTTGTCATGACAGCTTAATTCTACAGCAAGTGATTATTAGGTTGTTGCAGGGAAATCCAGCTGAAAAGCAGCTAGTTTATTTATTTACGTTATCAAACAAACAAAAGCGGGTTTGTTAGGAGAATCGGTTCATTATCACACTCTGCACCTGAACAGGTGGTTCTCCATAGAGCAGCAGGCCAAATCTCACCTGTGCCTTGAATCTCATGAAGTTTGGAACACATCTTAAATCTTTCATATATCAACTTTCTACATTTTCAATAAAACATCTGATCATAAATTTCCAAATAATGATGAGGACTCATTGATATTCAGAACAGCACTCGTCCAAAATGACAGCACTTTGTTTATGTGGAAGATGACTGGTGTGTGTGTGTGCGTGTGCGTGTGCGTGTGCGTGTGCGTGTGCGTGTGTGTGTGTGTGTGTGTGTGTGTGTGTGTGTGTGTGTGTGTGTGTGCGTGTTCTGTGAGCAGGCTCCCTCATCAGAAGAAGCCATCACACCATCATCAGCTGTGACTCCTTCTGCTTGTGGAGCCTCCTCACGTCCTTTCATCCCCGTCACTGATGACCCGGGAGCAGCCAGCATCATAGCGGAGACCATGACGAAGACAAAAGAGGTTTGTGTATTCTTAACTTGGAGCCATTAAGTCTAGCCGTTAAATTACCACCATTGTTTATTACGTCAGGACTCGGAGAACCAGAGTAAAGCGGTTGGTCCTGAGCCTCAGTACCTGGATGAGTTCACCAGCCTGCTTGTGCCTGATGATACTCGAGTAATGGTGGATCTGCTGAAGCTAGCGGTGTCTTGTCGCTCCGGGGAGAAAGGCAAGGAGGTCCTGTCTGCTGTTCTGTCTGGCATGGGAACAGCTTACCCACAGGTAACGTGCAGATCCACTGATTTCCCTCTTTCCTATTCACTCTCTCTCTTCTTTTAAATCCCAATCGTCTGTTTTTGCTCATTTTAAATATATTTTTAAACATTTTCTAAATGCTTTTTTATATTTTTACATTTTTTGTGTTTGTGAAGCGCCTCGTGATTTTTATCTTGAGAGGCGCTATAGAAATGATATTTTCTTCTTCTTCTTCCTGCATTCCTTTATAGACTGATGTGTGTTGGCCTGCAGTGGCTTCACAATTGTTGTGTCTGTGATGCTCAGGTCGCTGACATGCTGTTGGAGCTGTGTGTCACTGAATTGGAGGATGTTGCCACTGACTCGCAGAGTGGACGATTGTCCTCCCAGCCAGTTGTTGTAGAGAGCAGTCATCCTTACACTGACGATACATCAACCAGCGGCACTGTGAAGATCCCAGGTAAAAACACTTGGCACACATTTCAGTTAGAAATGGGATCACTCACAAGTGTTTTTCCTGTAGGTGCCGAGGGTCTGAGGATAGAGTTTGATCGACAGTGTTCAACCGAGAGACGCCATGATCCCCTAACGATCATGGATGGAGCCAACAGAATAGTCTCCGTCAGATCAGGTGATAGGAGGGAGATGCTGTGCCTCAGCTGTAAAATACAACTTGCCTATGTACAATAAAAAATTCATGTGGCTTCTTGTTGTGTGTGTTTCAGGTCGAGAGTGGTCCGACTGGTCCAGTGAGTTAAGGATCCCAGGAGATGAGCTCAAATGGAAGTTTACGAGCGATGGTTCGGTTAATGGTTGGGGCTGGCGCTTCACTGTCTACCCCATCATGCCGGCAGCAGGTGAGCTACGCAACACTAAGTTTTTACTCTAGTTGGGTTCAACATTTTACTGCAGTTCCACAGAAAACAATTTCAATTCAATTCAAGTTTATTTATAAAGCGCCAAATCACGTCAAGAGTCGTCTCAAGGCACTTCACATAATAAACATTCCAATCCAGGTCAGTTCATTAAGCCAATCAAAAATAATGTTTCCTATATAAGGAACCCAGCAAATTACAGCAAGTCACTGACTAGTGTCAGTGACTATACAGCAATCCTCGTACTAAGCAAGCATTTAGCGACAGTGGAGAGGAAAACTCCCTTTTAACAGGAAGAAACCTCCAGAGGATCCTCGCTCAGCCATCCTCCACGACTCACTGGGGATCGAGAAGACCGAACACACACACACACACACACACACACACACACACACACACACACACACACACACACACACACACACACACACACACACACACACACACACACACACACACACACACACACACACACACACACACACACACACACACACACACACACACACACACACACACACACACACACACACACACACACACACACACACACACACACACACACACACACACACACACACACACACAATAATGTGTCTATTGTGATGTCTTAGTAAATATTCTGTTTGGTGAGATCAACTAGCGGATCTCTAATTAAATGGGTAAACTAGTAGTAGCACGTCCAACGTCAAGGAAAGCAAAAAGTTATTATCAGGAGAGGGAGAATGTTTAAGTGGTTAGCAGCAGTGTGCTAGTCGATGGCCCCCTCCATGAGGCCACCACAGCTCAGCAGAACATCGTTGTAGCTTCTTCTGGGGAGAAAAACACTTAGAGATAAAATAAAGTTAACAGCTGAAATAGCAGGAAATAGTACAGTTAAAGAGCAGATTGTAGAATAAAGCAGTAGAGTGTGAGAAGTGGTCAGTGTGTCCTCCAGCAGTCTAAGCCTATAGCAGCATAACTACAGAGATAACTCTGGATAACCTATCCTATTTAGATGGAGGCATGTTGGAGGCAGGGCAAGGGAGAGCCGTCTTTACCGACTGTACACTCCACCTCCCTCTACTCCCCCACTTGTCCAGATTTAGGCTAACATCAGATTTTAACTATAGGCCCTATCAAATAAAAATGTTTTAAGCCTATTCTTAAAAGTAGACAAAGTGTCTGCCTCACAGACTAAAGCTGGGAGCTGGTTCCACAGGAGAGAAGCCCGATAACTAAAAGATCTGCCTCCCATCCTAATTTTAGATATTCTGGGAACCACCAGTAGACCTGCAGTCTGAGAGCGAAGTGCTCGGTTAGGAACATATGGAACAATCAGATCACTGATGTATGATGGAGCTTGATTATTAAGAGCTTTATAGGTGAGAAGGAGGATCTTAAAATCTATTCTGAATTTAACAGGTAGCCAATGTAGGGAAGCTAAGACAGGAGAGATATGATCTCTCTTTTTAATTCTCATCAGAACTCTAGCTGCAGCATTTTGGACAAGCTGAAGACTTTTAACTACATTCTGTGGACTTCCTGAGAGTAATGAATTACAGTAATCCAGTCTTGATGTAATAAATGCATGAACTAGTTTTTCAGCATCACTCCTGGAAAGGATGCTTCTAATCTTAGCAATATTCCGAAGGTGGAAAAAGGAAATCCTACAAACCTGTTGAACCTGGGATTTGAATGACATGTCCTGGTCAAAGATAACACCAAGGTTCCTTGCTTTGTTCTCGGAGATTAATGTAATGCCATTAAGGTCAGGCGATTGGCTAAGCAATGTCCTTTTCTGGATTTCTGGTCCAAAGATGAGAACTTCCGTCTTGTCTTGATTTAAAAGCAAAAAGTTTAGAGTCATACAATTTTTTATGTCCTCAAGACAAGCCTGTAATGTACCCAACCGATTAGGTTCATCAGGGTTAATGGATGAATATAACTGAGTATCGTCAGCATAACAGTGGAAGTTTATCCCATGCTGTCTAATGATTTTACCAATTGGGAGCATATATATAGTAAAAAGAATTGGTCCAAGCACTGAACCCTGTGGTACTCCACAAGTAACCCTGGAGTATGAAGACGATTTGTCATGTACGTTTACAAAATGAAATCTGTCAGACAGGTAGGATTTAAACCAGCCTAACGCTGCTCCTTTGATCCCTGCAACATGTTCAAGTCTTTCTAAAAGAACATTGTGATCAACTGTGTCAAAGGCAGCACTGAGATCTAACAAGACTAGAACAGACACAATATTCTTATCTGAGGCCATGAGAATATCATTTGTAACTCTCACTAATGCAGTTTCAGTGCTGTGATACTCTCTAAAACCAGACTGAAATTCCTCAAACAGAGCATTAGTGTTTAAATGCTCACATACTTGGATGGCCACTATTTTCTCCAGGACTTTGGATAAAAATGGAAGGTTAGATATTGGTCTATAATTCATTGGGTCATCTGGATCCAGAGAAGGCTTCTTAAGTGAAGGTTTGATTACAGCAACCTTAAAATCTTGTGGTACATACCCATTCACTAAGGATAGATTGATTATATCTAGAATGGGGGCAGTAACCAAAGGAAATGCTTCTTTAAATAATTTGGTTGGGATTGGATCTAAAATGCAAGTTGAAGGTTTAGATGAAGCTAATATTTTTGATAACTCTGAAAGCTCAACTGGATCAAAACGGTTCAAGCACAGATGAGGTTCTAGAGTCACCTCTGATGCTGCCTCACTTACTGAGGAAGAAGAAATCGCATTAGGGAGGATGCTAAAGATTTTGTTTCTAATAGAATTAATTTTACTTGTAAAAAATCCCATGAAGTCATTGCTGCTGAGGGCTAAGGGAATAGATGGCTCAGAGCTATGATTCTGTGTAAGTTTAGCAACTGTACTGAAAAGAAATTTAGGATTATTCTTATTCTCCTCAATTAATGCTGAAAAATAATCAGCTCTAGTTTGTCGAAGCTTATTTTTATAAAGCACAAGACTATTTTTCCAGGATAGGTAGGCCTCCTCATGGTGCGTAGAGCGCCATGTTCTCTCCAATTTCCTAGAGTTTTGTTTTAAGGCTCGTAGATGAGAGTTAAACCAGGGAGCCAACTTCCTGTCTCTAATTACCTTCTTTTTTAAAGGGGCAACATCATCTAATGCCACACGTAAAGAGGAATTAACATGATGAACTAAGGCATCAATTTGTGAGGGGCTAGAACTGAAAATATTGCCCTCTGCTACATGCCTCTGAGATGCTGAGGACAGTAAAGATGGAACAGTTGATTTAAAAGACGCAACAGCGTTGTCAGATAGAGACCGACTATAGTGAAATTTACTTTCATGTCTCTACTGTTTGGTGCAAAAACAGTTTCACTGGTTTGTTGAATGCAACTTGTTTTTTATAGGTCCCAAAGACTTGCTGTCTGACCGCTGTATCCTGTCCTGCCCTTCCATGGACCTGGTCACATGTCTCCTAGACTTCAGGCTCAACTTTGCATCCAACAGGAGCATTGTGCCACGCCTGGCTGCTTCTCTTGCTGCATGTGCCCAGCTAAGTGCTCTAGGTACAGCACAGTTATTTTGTAATTGAGCGTAGATAAAAATTAAACAGCCTGTTCTGTTCTAATTCTAATCAAATGTGAGGCAACTTTTCAGTGAAATATTTGTGCTTTCGTGTGTCCAGCTGCTGGACACAGGATGTGGGCTCTGCAGAGGCTCCGCAAGCTTCTGACCACAGAGTATGGTCAGTCCATCAATATCAACCGGCTGCTGGGAGACACCGAAGGCGAGGCTCGCTCTATTGTGAGTGAAGCTTCCCTTAAACCTACACGTTAAAGAGCTCAACGTAACTTAATGTTGATTGTTTATTTTTCTATGAATTAGAGGAATTGAATTAAAAAAAGTAGATTTTAGAAACACAAACCCACTAGAAAAATAACTTTTCAGTCTGTTGTGTTGGGAAATGACCTCATGAACCACCTGAAATATTTATTTAAACTAAAACGTTTTGATTGGGTGTTGGACAACCTGCTGTTTAGACTCAAATTGATTCAAGATGGCATCACGGCTAATTAGATGGCAAACACCAAGATGGCTATGTTGGTCATTTTTACAGAAACGGAGCCAGAATTTGCCGTGTTAGTAGCTGAGAGTCATTTCAACACCTACTCTGTGTGTTAACTAATCACATGAGAACATACGTAGTCATTTTCCAGATTTGACGGAAAAGTAAGATGATCTTAGTTTGAAACTTTGGCATGAAAGCTGGTACAAGATGCACATTCCTTCATGAACCAGTCAGGCTTAAGTTTAACAACAATTCTTCTTATACATCACATACCACAGTGCCTTTGTTTTAAACAATAAAAGTGACCAACTGTAATATTTAAAAGGGTTGCAGAACCAGTGTGTCATTTAGGAAAACAAGTCCAATATGATTTTCATTAACATAATGTATAATCCATATTGCTGCAGAGTTTCACAGGCAGCGCTCTGGCTGCTCTTGTAAAGGGGCTTCCCGAGGCTCTACAGAGGCAGTATGAGTACGAGGATCCTATCGTCAGGGGGGGCAAGCAGCTGCTTCACAGTCCATTCTTCAAGGTACAACTTAATGACAATGAACAGGAGTTATTTTTAATCCCATTGAATTAGATGAATGTTTATCTCCGAGACTAAATTTGGTGTGTTTTCAAGGTCTTGGTTGCCCTAGCGTGTGACCTCGAACTTGACACGTTACCTTGCTGTGCTGAGACCCATAAGTGGGCCTGGTTCCGTCGATACTGCACTGCATCCAGAGTGGCTGTGGCCCTTGATAAGAGAACCTCTCTGCCTCGAGCCTTCCTGGATGAGGTAGGGGTACCACATGGCTCCGTCTGTGGCAGTCTTCACTTTTCTTAACACACACAAAAAAAATCCCTGACAAGTTGCCTTTCTTTCAAAGGTTACAAAGAAAATCCGAGAGCTCATGGCAGACCACGAGAGCATGAACGGGCTCCACGAGAGTCACGACTTGTTCAAGCGTGAACACGACGAGCAACTTGTTCAGTGGATGAATCGGCGCCCAGACGACTGGACCCTCTCTGCTGGAGGGAGCGGTACCATCTATGGCTGGGGCCATAATCACAGAGGGCAGCTGGGGGGCATTGAGGGGGCAAAGGTCAAAGTACCCACCCCAACTGAAGCTCTCGCCACACTGCGGCCTGTACAGCTCATCGGTGGAGAACAGACTCTGTTTGCTGTCACAGCTGATGGAAAGGTCTGTGTTGACTGCGTGCCGCACGTTTGGTTCAAATGCCATCCAGCTTCATTAATAATTCTTCTTCAAAGGACGAATAAAATTATGTTTTGGTAACTGGTTTTATCTTGATCCTCAGCTTTATGCCACTGGATACGGAGCAGGGGGCAGATTGGGAATTGGTGGCACCGAGTCTGTGTCCACTCCAACTTTACTGGAGTCCATTCAACATGTCTTCATCAGGAAGGTGGCTGTGAACTCAGGAGGGAAGCACTGCCTGGCCCTCTCCTCCGAGGGAGAAGTTTACTCCTGGGGAGAGGCGGAGGATGGAAAACTGGGCCATGGGAACAGAAGGTAAAACCTTTGCCCTCAACAGGAAGCTGCCTTTAATTTAAAAACAAGCTCACGTCTCTGTTTGTTAAAGGTTAGAGTTCTTATTGTAACCGGGGTTCCTTCTGACTTCAGCCCCTGTGACCGTCCTCGTGTGATCGAGTCCCTGAGGGGAGTAGAAGTGGTGGATATTGCAGCCGGAGGTGCACACAGTGCCTGTATCACAGCCAGTGGGGAACTGTTCACCTGGGGCAAAGGTCGTTATGGAAGACTCGGCCATGGAGACAGCGAGGACCAGCTCAAACCTAAGCTGGTTGGTGATCCCTTAGCTCACTCTCTTACAGATCTCTAGTTGATTATTTTTCATGTAAATTAATTAACTGTGAGGGTGATTTTTGTCCAGGTGGATGCACTGCAGGGTCACAGGGTCATCGATGTTGCCTGTGGAAGTGGGGATGCCCAGACGCTGTGTTTAACTGATGATGACATGGTCTGGTCGTGGGGAGACGGGGACTATGGGAAATTAGGGCGAGGAGGAAGTGATGGCTGCAAAGTTCCAATGAAGGTAAAACAAATGACCGATATGTCTGTGAAGTTAGCAAAAATCACTCCGTACCTCTGAGCTCCTTAGCGGTCGCTTTTTTGGAAGACTGAGTGCTTCTAAGTTATAATGATGAACGAAAAGAAAATTCAACCCTGTTTCCCTCTCTATCACCAGCTAGCAAGTCCTCTAAAGGATGTTTGCTCATTGTTGTTGTGGCACATGATTAGGAAACCTCAGTAAGCTGATGGTTCGTTACCATGACTACCAGAGTTAAAACACACATCAGTCAATCTAAACATGCAGAGGTTGTTTACTGTAACCATCTACCACCGACACATGTCATACAACCACATTTATCTCATTAGAATTATTACAGCAATAAGTTTGGACAACTCTGTTAGACATTAACATGATGTCTAAGGTTTCTTAATGTCAAGGCATCTGGACGCTGTTCTTCCTTTGGTCAAAGAAAACGGGGAACTGGAACAGATGCATCACGTGATTGTGGCTTCCGAGTTACTACCCGCTAGCCGCCGAAGCTACAACTACTAAGAAACTAACCAACCATAGATAACTGCTTTGGATCCAAATAACATTTTAGATATCAGCCCGATAGGGTTTGCCCCCAAAGTAGTTACCGGCTCCTCATCCGCCATCCTTTTGAAAATACCGCGCGGTGTTCTGGGAAATTTTCGACCAAGGCCAGGCTCCAAGACACCCCCCGTGTGGGCACAGAGAACAAACCCTAACCCTCGGTAGAACATGAACATTGGAACACGCCTTGGCGGTTCCTGATGATGTATCTCCTAGGCAACCGGGACGGGACCAAGACATCAAGGCACACGTTGACATGTTCGCATAACTGTGCCACAGAACTAGTTAAAGCCCGGCACTCCCCAGAAGTATGGAAGTGGTTGGTACCGGTTACCCCACATTTAGTCCAGCATGCATCCCCCTCCCTTATGGCTGTTTATGTTCTTCCAACTCAACTCCCACCATATGTTGTCCATGGAAGTTGACGGGTATTGGTCCAACTTTCTTGTGACATAACCAGTGCTGTTTCCTTTTCCCACTTTTTCTTGATGCATTCTGTGCTGGCCTGTTGGCTGAATGTCCTTGTGTTGTCTGGAAATAGAGTATCTGAGAGTGGGATTTAATTAGTTTGGAATATCTGTAAGAAGCTTAAATCTCTGCTTCTGGCGCATCTTTAACTCGGACGAGGTCTTCTAATAGGTGAATAGTAGTAAAACCTGGCTAGTCCTGTAGTCTGGACATGGTCTGGTGATGGCTCTCAGTCGTGGGGCGGGATCTGTAGCGCTCTTTCAGACTGTCTCCACATACTATTGGACAACAAACAATGGGACACACTTACCTCCACGAGTGTCAGTCAGCGGGGCAGTCTGCCATACGGTGTCGAAGATGCAAATGCTTCCTTTTTCTAAATAAACTTAAATGCATCCATCTGCTGTTGACCCAAAGATAAGCCCTGTGATTGGACCAAAATCCCTGTCCGGGGCTGCGGAGGTGCTGATGGAGTGTGCCTAGGCAGTCGGTGGCCGAAGCAACATCCTGTTGCTTCGGCCACCGACTGTCTAGATTTTATAGTGATCTAAATAAATCTGCCTTATTTTACAAATGTAAAGCGTTACTCGACACGACTGAAGGTTTTTATTATCCAACATGAAACTGATGATTTAAATGTTTTTTATTTTATCTGTAGATTGACTGCCTTACTGGCCTGGGAGTGGTGAAAGTGGAGTGTGGCTCTCAGTTCTCTGTGGCTCTGAGTAAATCTGGGGCCGTCTACACGTGGTATGTACAGGGCTGCAGAGAAAAGACCTATCACGTGTTGTCGTGGTGAAGTGGGCGGGGCTGGCTAACTTTCATGTGTGTTGTCGTTTGAAGGGGGAAAGGGGATTACCACCGGCTGGGTCACGGCTCTGATGACCACGTACGACGACCCAGACAGGTTCAAGGGCTGCAGGTGAAGAAAGTCATCGCCATTGCCACGGGGTCCCTGCACTGTGTTTGCTGCACTGAAGATGGTACGGAGAAGCTGTCTGTAAATAGTTCTGCTCATGGTCCTCGTTTCGCTGTTCTGGAACGCTGAGTCTCAACCTCGCAGCAGCTTGACATGAGCCCCTTTTCTGTGCAACAGGAGAAGTGTACACATGGGGCGACAACGACGAGGGCCAGCTTGGAGACGGGACCACTAATGCCATCCAGAGGCCACGACTGGTCGCCGCGCTGCAGGGCAAGAAGATCAACAGGGTGGCCTGCGGCTCTGCCCACACCCTCTCCTGGTCCACCAGCAAGCCCACTAATGCTGGGAAGCTGCCCACACAGGTACTGCCCTGGCATGAAAACAGCCTCTCCCATTGTCTCCAGTAGGTGTCAGTAAAGTCCTGCAGACACAAGTATCATCCAGTCAGAGACCTTTGTTTTTGTTTTTATTCAGCTCGATTTTTATGTGTGTGTGTCGCTTCTGTAAGGTTCCCATGGAGTACAATCACCTCCAGGAGATCCTCATCATGGCCCTGAGGAACCGGCTACTGCTGCTGCATCACTTCTCTGAGCTTTTCTGTCCCTGCATTCCCATGTTTGACCTGGAGGGTCGGCTGGGTCAGACGGGCCACGGCCCCTCTGTGGGCTTTGACACTCTAAGGGGAATTCTTATCTCCCAGGGCAAGGTATGACTGCACGGAAATAAAAACCACAAGGATGTACAAGCAAAGCAAAACGAACTGAATTTGTTTTTATTTTCTTTGTCTGCAAACAGGAAGCAGCTTTCAGGAAGGTGGTTCAAGCTACAATGGTGAGAGACCGACAGCATGGACCTGTAGTGGAGCTGAATAGGATTCAGGTACAATAATGTTTCTGCTTAAGCCCCCCTCCATTCCTACCCCCTCCATGTAAACACCCCCTGGAGATGTTACGTCCCAAACTGGCTCCTGAGCAAATCATGTGATGACTTTCATAAGGAGAGTTTATTTTTTTTACTGGTGTGTGATCTACTCTCCTTCCTGTCTGTGGAACAGAGTCATGGAGCTGCTTCGCCTGTTGAAGAGAAAGCTGCCAAATCCAGCCTTTAGCGGGAAGTTATTAAAGACAAAACACAAATGAAATCTATTTGTTTCACTCTGCAGGTGAAGCGTTCCCGTAGCAAGGGAGGTCTGGCAGGTCCAGACGGGACCAAGTCTGTTTTTGGTCAGATGTGTGCCAAAATGAGTTCTTTCAGCCCAGACAGCCTGCTGCTCCCTCATCGAGTTTGGAAGGTCAAATTTGTGGGTACGTGCGCCTTCCCTGAGTTAATTTATAGATTTCTTTAGAGGTTACTCTTTATTACCAAACAGATCTCGGGCAGTATATCTGACAGTCATTTGGTTTTCACTTCCAGGTGAGTCTGTGGACGACTGTGGAGGAGGTTACAGCGAGTCCATCGCTGAAATGTGTGAGGAGCTGCAGAACTCTCTGACGCCGTTGCTCATCGTCACTCCGAACGGCCGCGACGAGTCCGGAGCCAACAGGGATTGCTTCCTGTTGAACCCTGCAGCCAAGTCCTCTCTTCATATGAGCATGTTTCGATTCTTAGGTATGGAATATCAGATATACGTCACTAAGTTCATCACTTAGTCAGGGCTGCAAAGGTAATGCAACATGAACTAAAACAGAAAAAAGCTATTTTAATTTAAAAATCTTCAGTCTCATCTTTCATTTTAAAAAGACTAATGAGCCTTGGTACATGTGAAACACCTGGAACACGTTTCACGTTGGTTCTGGTCTGATCTGTGTGCTGTACTCTGCCCCGCCGTGTCCGCAGGAGTTCTCCTGGGAATCGCAATCCGGACTGGAAGCCCTCTCAGCCTGAGTCTGGCAGAGCCTGTATGGAAGCAGCTGGCAGGCATGAACCTGACCATCGCTGACCTCAGTGAGGTGTGTGGACATCGCTGCTCCTCAGTGCACCATTTATGTCCCTGTGTGAAATGCGCTGTGATGGTTTGGGCTTCACGCTCTAGGGGAGAAGCTCTAATTCTGCAGGACTCGCTTGAAAAAGAGGTTTTAAATCTCAATGGGACTTTTTTCCTGGGTAAATAAAGGTTAAATAAATAAATAATTATCAATTTTTTTACTCCGTAACTGCCAATGACGGCGTCGTCATTTACATATTTTACTGTGTGGGCGTCGGACGAGCCCCCGCACCGTGAGAGCAAACATCCCAGCTCTAAAGCCGATCTTCTTCCGCATACGTCACACGTCACGTGGTCATGAAGCAGAACATCCATGTGTTAGGAGATCGTTTTGGGCCGCTGCTGTAAAAAAAAAGTGAGGCGCGAACCGGAAAAGCTTCTGCCGATAACGAGTTAGACAACGGGTTGTGAAAGAACGGATAACGCTCGAAACGTGTGGACTCTTCCTGATGTCAGAGGTGAGTTGTCTCTTTGTTTTGGTAGGTTTGGTGTCGACATCATCCTAGCGCGCAACGTTCTGTGGCTCTTACAAAAACAGTGAAAATGCTGAAAAACGCTGGCAGCGACGGGCTTTTCCGATCAGCAAACGGCTGGCAGTGAATGAGTTAAGTGTGTGTGTTACCTGCAAAACCAAATGTAGGAATTGTTCTCAGGCAGCATATCAGCTGTTATTAATGAAAAAGGTCTGAATTTCTGGGTTAGGGTTAGGGTGGAATAGTTCTGGTGTTCTCCAGAACTCGGCTGATGATCAGCCCAGTGGTTGGTGGCAGGCTCAAGCAGTCATCCTGCTACATGCAGAAGTTTTCCTAACCCACACTGACCCACACTGACGCCCTGTGGAGAAATCTCATTTTGGCCGCTTGTGTCCGTGATCTCATTCTTGCTGTCACTACCCAGAGCTCACGACCACAGGGGAGGGTAGGAACGTAGACTGACCAGTAAATGGAGAGCTTCGCCTTCCAGTTCAGTTGAACGCCTTCTCCAAATCCACCAAACACACGTGGATTGGTTGGGCGAACTCCCACGCACCCTTCAGATCCCCTAAGGGTGTAGAGATTTTTAAGTTTTTGGCTGAATGCGATATGCTTCTGTCCTTTTTTAATGTCAAAAGTAAAAAAACAACAATGGGCTAAAACATGAGACCTGTGGTAGCCTCCAGGATGAATAAAACAAATTCCCCTGTGATGGGTGAATTCAGGCTTGAAACCTGACAGCTGTACCCATTATGAGGCCTGTGGTCTGTAGTTGTAGTACAAGTTACTGCTCCGAAACAGCTCACAGTAGAAGTTGGATTAATCTGAAATGTCTTGTTTAATTTCCTAATTGAAGCCCTTTAATTGCTTTTGAATCAAACCTGTCCATGCTCAAAGAAGGAATCCTGTTCATCCCGTTGGGTGTTCTACAACATCTGCAACTCACATGATCTGCATTAAAGCAAATGATTCCACCTCAGCTGAAGATCAGTCTGTGTGGAGGTCCCTCCTTCTTGGAAGCTCAGGCTGTTCTTGACAGATTTCTGTGTAAGTTTCATTGTGGGGTGAGGAGACAGGAGGTGGTGCGATTCCTCTCCTGTCCTCACGCTCCGATCATACGCTCTTGAAACGTCTTTGGGAGAAAAGCAGGGTTGGGAAAATTCCTCTTCCCAATGAAAGCTGCTTTTGTTTTCCAGTTTTGCCCCTGAGATACTACAAAGGTTAGATGGGAAATGATTTTAGCACAAGCCCGAGTGGATGGTTGTAGAGTTCACGAGACTTGTGTTGTGGGCTCGAGTGTTTCTATGACACGAGTTAAAGAAGTTCTATAAAAATGAGTCTGATTGCAGCCTGTGATGGTTTTCCTGTTGTGTTCAGGTTGATAAGGATTTCATTCCTGGGCTGATGTACATCCGGGACAATGAGGCTACTGCTGAGGAGTTTGAGGCCATGACCCTGCCCTTCACTGTGCCCAATGCCAGCGGTCAGGACATCCAGCTCAGCTCCAAATACTCCCACATCACCCTGGAGAACCGTGCAGAATACGTCCGCCTGGCGATTAATTACAGGTGACCAAATGTCCTAAAGATGCGTTTCCAGTCATGCCCTACATCTCTCTCATGGCCTTTTTACCTGGTGCAGACTCCATGAGTTTGATGAGCAGGTGTCTGCTGTGCGTGAAGGGATGGCTCGAGTGGTTCCCGTTCCCCTGCTGTCACTGTTCACTGGTTACGAGCTGGAAACTATGGTGAGATTGAGCAGGGTTCTGTTGTGGAATGGTCTTCACTTTCTCTCCAGGTTTTCATATTCGTGGCTCTTGCTCTTCAGGTGTGTGGAAGTCCAGACATCCCGCTCCACCTGCTCAAGTCAGTGGCCACTTATAAAGGCGTGGAGCCGACGGCACCCCTCATTCAGTGGTTCTGGGAGGTGATGGAGTCCTTCTCCAACACAGAAAGGTCACTTTTCTTGAGGTTTGTCTGGGGTCGTACGCGGCTGCCGCGCACCATCGCTGATTTCCGAGGCCGGGATTTTGTTGTGCAGGTGAGTGTGTTTTATGTCAGCCTGAACTCAGAAGTGTGGTGGAGAAAGGTTGGAAACTCATGGAGATTTATTGAAATGATATAAAGCTCTCTACATGATCCGTACCTTTGATGTTAAGTGTTGTTGTTGTTTATTTTTTTTCAAGGTGCTGGATAAATATAACCCCCCTGACCACTTCCTGCCAGAGTCCTACACCTGTTTCTTCCTGCTCAAGCTGCCCAGGTACTCGTGCAAACAGGTGCTGGAGGAGAAGCTGAAATACGCCATCCACTTCTGCAAGTCCATCGACACGGACGACTACGCTCGCATCGCCCTGTCTGGTGAGCCGGCGGCAGACGACAGCAGTGAAGACTCTGATAACGAGGATGCGGACTCCTTTGCCTCAGACTCCACACAAGACTACCTAACGGGACACTGAAGTCTTGTACGAATGGTGGAAGAGGAGACTCTGTGTTGATCTCACCTGATGCACAAGTTCATTCTGACGTTCGGCCCACACACGAACATCTGAGGGAGGATGTGCAGACTTCAGAAAGAATTATAAGCTAATGAAGTAAGAAACACCACTAATCTCTCATTTAGTTTCTTCAAATGGAGCAACGGCAGTCAGCTGCACTTGATTGTTGTGTTACAGGAGTTACTTGTTATATTGCAGTTACAGCCTAGCACTGTGGCAGATCTCTCTCCCTGGTTTGTGTCAATCACCTGTCTCTAGACTGTATATAGTAATTAATGTGTGATGACAGTAGAATTAATTTTTTAGTAATAACCAGGTTTCTTTATACAAAAGGAGAAAACCTTTTTAACTTAAAGTCGGTGTTTCTGAAACGGCCTCCTTCATTCAGAGCCCGATGAAGGGTCATTTTAAATTTGTGCGCCCCCTTCTTCCCCTCCAACATGTTTGTGCAACTGTTTACTTCAAGAATGTATATGATTGTGCCATGTATCCACACGAGATCCCATTCCTGCATATTAAATGTTAATACGTTTCTGTTAATAAATGCAACAAAGCAGAACGACAGTTTTTGCTTCCTTGCTGCCGGCGTGGCTAACCCTGTGTGATTCTGAAGAGCTTCAGGTGAGACGCGTAGAACACGGAGTGATGCGTGAATGTAGTGGATTTAATTAGAGCTTCACCAGTCTGTCAGACATTGTATTCTGGATTAAGGCTGGTGATACTCTAATGCTTCTGGAAATAATTCTGCTCCATTCATGACGCACTGAATTTGGCCAAACTAGGTCATTTAGGTTTATGTGTCTATGGAATAGTTTTAGCTGAGAATTATTATTTTTTTACGTTTTAAACACAGAATCTATTAATGTGTAGAGCAAAGGCTGAAAAGGTTCAGTTGTGTGATCTTTATCTCTGTGGAATTAAGGAAATATCTTCTAATTATGCGACATGGTGTCTCGTGACCCCCACACCTCCTCATAGTTGACCTCAAGTGTGTGTTTTCTTCTTATGGAATGATGCATACCTTTGTGGAGTCACGAGGAAAAGTAGAAAAAAAGAGCGATTTATGATGGCTTGATTTGGCTTAAAAATCCTTCGCATTCCTTCTGGGCTTAGGGCTCCTTTTCCTCGTGTCATAATCCGAGTGGGAGTCAGGCCAGCCTAAAGATGTACTTCATTTGTATTTATTAAAGATCTGGTAAAGCAAGCAGCAACAGGAAAAATGTCCCAGAGTAACGTTAGAAGGGTCTGATAATCAGATTAACTGTACGTCTCCTACACCAGGTGGAAAAACAGATAATCTGATTACATTGGCTCTTGGCAGGTTGGAGTCAACATTTTAGAAGCAACGCATATCCAGCGTTCACGTTAGAGTTGGCTTTTTATTTGCTGCGGCAGCCATCCTACGTTGTGCTGACTCCAGACGTTAACCGTCCCGTGATTTTTCTCTAAAGGTTTCATTATAACACATCCAAACTCCATTGATAGATGAGCAATTTAACGTTTAGTCTGAAGTGTAAATATGATCTCAGACTCATGACGGATGGCTGCTCATACTGAGCCAGGTTCTGTTGGAGGTTTTTGTTACAGTTTTCCTCTCCACTGTCACTACAGGCTTGGGAATTACTGGAAAGTCAGTGACACAAGCTAGGTTTTCATACATGGGAAACTTAACTGATATAAACGGAACTGAATGCACTGAAAAAATTAGAATGTGGTTCAACAGTTGGTTAATGTCAGTAATTAAACTTAGAAGGTGAAACCATATATGAGAGACTCGTTACGTGCAAAGCCAGAGATTTCAGGCTTTATTTGTTTTATTATAATTGCGATGATCATGGCTTACTGCTTATGAAAACCCCTCATTCAGAATCTCAGACAACTTGAATAATGTGAAAAGGTTCAATATTCTAGACTCAGTGTCACACACTAATCAGCTAATTAATTAAGGACACCTGCAAAGCCTTCCTGACCCTTTAGACCAGGGGTGTCAAACTCAAACTCACACGGGGCCGAAATGAAACTCTGGGACTGAGTCGAGGGCCAAACTTATTATTTTTGAAAAAGTGACGGCAAATTTGCACGTTTTCTTTATCAACATAAATGCAATTTTGAACCTTTACATTTGGAAACAAACATATTTCTGCATTAACACTGAATGTGGAATAACCAAATTACACACGAGCAAGTCAGTTTTAAATAAAAGGCATCAGTGGTATTCATTACTTGTGGTATAATCAGCATTTTTAAAATCTATTCAGGATTTATGTTTTCTTGTTTATTCATTTTTCTTATTTTTTATCCTCCTTTTTTCTCCTGTAATACGTGTCATCGCTGCTGTGACGTCTAGCTTTCCCCACTGAGGAACAATAAAGGGATTTTCTATTCTATTCATCTATCTGCAGCCTTTCCACTTCCTGTTTACTGTAGGTTAAATCTTTTCTCACGGGCCAACAACAAAATAAAAATATCATTTTATCTTAAATGAAAATGCAACATCTCACCTGTTAACTTTCATGTTTTGGAGCAGAAAAAGAGCATCAAACCAACATATTTAAAGCTCAGTTTGCTCCACTGGTTTACTGTGATGCTCACCTGTTCCAGCCAGATACCTGCATCATGGGGTTGAGCTGAGCTGAGGAGGAGACTCCTGTTGTTTTGTTCATCTTCATCATAATAATGACAACATTAGATGACAACAGGTGCTCACATAGGTTTGTGCTGCTGAACATGTCTGAGCAGCTTGACCACGTCGTTGTGTGTCGGGGAGGAAACACAACCACAGAGTCGTGCTGGTTTGAGCGTGTCGCTGTTCGCTGGAGTTATATCAGCTCTGTCTGGACGTTAGTTTGAAAACTTTCTCTTTCAGTCGTGAACACATTACTGAGCGGCTAGAATCTCCGTTTCTGGGCTTCAACGTCAGAAAATAGCTGAGTGAACTCGGCGCTGAGTGAGAGGAGTGTAGTTTGTCCGAGACAGCGGAGCTGCAGAGACCGGCAGCAGGCTCTGAAAAAACACAAAGGAGGGGGCTTCGTCGGCTCCGTGCTGACGCCGCAAAGCATCATGGGAGTTGAAGTCTTTGCGGTAAAATCGGCCAGCGGGCCAGTTTTAATATATTTTTGATATTTATCTCGCGGGCCACATAAAAATGCTCCGCGGGCCTGATGCGGCCCGCGGGCCTTGACTCTGACATATGTGCTTTAGATGGTCTCTCAGTCTAAGCTGGATTACTGATTCTAAAGTGCTCAATAACTGAGGAAGTAACAACAACCTCCCTGAATACCTTCTTTTTATGCTGCTAATTAAACCAATTCTACCTTTCTCTGGATCCTATAACACCTTTTCTTATTCATTATCTTTCTTCCTTTAAATTTTTTATTAAAGATTTTCAACTTTCCACATTTTTATTATATTTTTGAAATCATACATTAAATCACTCACTCACACACACACACACACACACACACACACACACACACACACACACACACACACACACACACACACACACATATATATATATATATATATAAATCATCTGTCACTATCAGAAATCTTTTATGTACATTTCTCCAGCTTGTAGTGGTCTAACAAAGAAAGGGATTAATCAGGGTCATGGATCCAAGATGATGTGATTTATTTTTCACATCAAAGTTTTAATAATTTTTGAGCAGCAGCTTTTAGATTACTTGACCGCATTTTCGTTGACTGAAATCTGAACTTTGCACCATTCCAACATCTTGTTTTCCACTTAGACACAGATGTGTTGCAGTGTTTTTATCCTTGCCCTGTTTTATCACCAGTTTGGTCCGAGTTTCAGCTGCCAGACGGTCTCACATCAGACCCTAGAGTAATTTGGTATAATGATAAAAACTCAACCCTAACACCCAAATGATCACCGCTCTACCACCGTGCTTCACAATGTGCAAAATTTGATGGATTTCTCCAAAAGTGCAGTTCTGCAACTTCACCTTGTTCAAAGGAGAGTGTGTCAAAAGTCTTGTGGCTTTTTCAGACTCAACTTCGCAATCATAAACTGTAGACCCATGGACTGTAAATTGATGGAAATTTGTAAAAAATGTTAGCATAACTTTGTTCCTTATGTACCTATAGAGGTTTTATGAAAAACCCAACGTGCCTCTAAGAGACTACAGTTAAAAGAAACACTGAAACATTTTCTCTCTAGGCTTTGTCTTCCAACTGATTTTTGTTTAGGTTGAACTCCCAAAGGTTCAGAGAGTTTATTTAAGCATCTGTTAATCATTATGCAAAACATCACGTTATTCAATATGCAATTGAAAAGCCTTCAGGCTTCTGCATTCAGACCACAGAGAAGCTGCTGCACACAGGATGATTGACTCGGGCAAAGTGAAAAGGCCAGACAGCCCTGAGAGTCTGCAGCCTGCATGTGACTGCATGTGGATGAAAGACAAAAACGTACAAAGATGGTGGTGCATGACCCCTGGTACTGGCCCGCTTTCAGCTGCATTATGGGGCTACTGACTTAAAGGTCTGGTTTCACGTTATGAAAAGGCCTTATAATTAAAGAGAAAAATAAATACAGAAAGCCATTTATTTATTTAATTTAACCAGATGAGTCAATTGAGAACTCATTCTCATTAATGACGATCTAGCCAATAGGCAGCAGCAACAGACACATAGTTAGCTTTACACCAAAGAAAAAACGATCAGATAAAAACATATAAGATAAAACAATTAGACATAAAGACAATGGACTGTTTTTATTTACAATATGTACAAGTAATCAAAACAAACTTAAAACAGTCTAAGTACTCAGAAGGCACAGCAGGCACATTGATCAGAAACTATTGATTGCAATGAATTATTGAAGGTAGATGATGGAATGTAGGTAGTGAGCTTCAGTGATTTTTGCAGCTCATTCCAGTCGTTGGAAGCAGCAAACTGGAATGAGGAGGAGTGGCCAAAGGAGGAGTGAGCTTTGGGAATAACCATAGAGATTGAGTTACTGGAATGTAAATTGCGCTGGTTGTTGGAAGTGATGTTTGGGGAGTGATGTCATGTGCAAACATCTGGCTGGTAGGAGGAGATGTAAACAAGTAACTGAATATAAGTTTAACTCCAAAAACACTAATGATTATTGATGTGCATATGCCAGGATGGCCCTAATATAAGGCTAGTTGCTATTCAGGTTAGTTTAGTCTGAAAAAACATCCTGGTTTCTTGCTTTAAAGAATCAGCCTCAAAAGAATCATCTGAATTGTGTCACCACTGTTAGTAAAACAAAGGTCTGAGTTCAACTCTCTTATTTACCTATTCGACTTGGCATTTTGGATAAACGAAGCAGCATCATTTCTGCTATTATGTTTTCAAAAATGGAATTGTTCTGAAAATGAACGTTTGGTTGGCACTGAATGGCAACACAGCACTCTTAGAAAGATCCTCTTAATAAGCAGCACTTGATTCTTGAACTCGTGCTCATTAACCAGCTCGAACCATTCCGGAACTGCGCTGCTCTGGGTGGCTGCATGTTGGAGTAGCTCTGTTGATTACATGTAAGTTTTGCCTTTTCTTTGACATTTT